TCCATACTGGGATCTCAGTGAAGTTGGGATTAGGATTGGAGGGGATTGCTGCATCCCGGACCGGTTTCTACTGGTCCATACTGGTCCATACTGGTTTAAACCAGTTCGAACTGGTTTATATTGGTTTGTACTGGTTTAAACTGGTTCAAACTGGTTTATACTGGTTTGTACTGGTCCATACTGGGATCTCACTGGGGGTTGGGACCGGGATTGGGGGGATCAATGTATCCCAGACTGGTTTATACTGGTCCACACTGGTTTATACTGGTTTGTACTGGTTCAAACTGGTTTATACTGGTTCAAACTGGTCCGTACTGGGATCTCAGTGGGGTTGGGAGCAGGATTAGGGGCGATCATTGTGTCCCGGACTGGTTTATACTGGTTTGTACTGGTCCAAACCAGTCCAAACTGGTCTATACTGGTTCAAACTGGTTTAAATCGGTTTCATTTTTACCTCTAAAAACCCCCAAATTTTAGGGTGAAAAATCTCATTTTTGGGACCAAAAACCCCCAAATATTAGGGTCAAAAATTTGAATTTTGGCTCTAAAAATCCCTCAATTTTGGGTCAAAAATCTCATTTTTAAGTCCAAAAAGCCCCGAATTCTGGGTCAAAAATCTCATTTCTGGGTCCAAAAAAACCCAAATTTTAGGGCTAAAAATCTCATTTTTGACTCCAAAAAAGCCAAATTTTAGGGTCAAAAATCTCAATTTTGGCTCTAAAAAGCCACGATTTCTGGGTCAAAAATCTCATTTTTACCTCTAAAAAACCCCAAATTTTAGGGTCAAAAATCTCATTTCTGGGTCCAAAAACACCCCAAATTTTAGGGTCAAAAATCTCAATTTTGTCTCTAAAAAGCAACCAAATTTGGGTCAAAAAATCTCATTTCTGGGTCCAAAAAACCCCAAATTTTAGCGTTAAAAATCTCAATTTTGAGTCCAAAAAACCCCCACATTTTAGGGTAAAATCCCTCAATTTTGGCTCCAAAACCCCTCCAATTTTAGGGTGAAAAATCTCATTTTTGGGTCTAAAAACCCTCAAATCCTGTTCCCCTGCAGGGCACCAACATCGGGGCGGGCAAGGCCGTGGGCATCGTGGTGGCCACGGGCGTCAACACCGAGATCGGCAACAGCCCTTCCCTTTTGGGCCCAAAAAGGCAAATTTTGGGTCCAAACCCCTCATTTTTGGGTCTAAACCCCCTCAAATTTTAGTGTAAAATACCTCATTTTTGGGTCAAAACCCCCCCAAATTTTGGAACCAAATCTCTCATCTTTGGGTCTAAAAACCCCTAAATTTTGGTCTGAAAAACCTCAATTTTGGGGATTAAATTACTGATTTTTGCCTCTACAACCTCGAAATTTTAGGGTCAAAAATCTCATTTTTGGATCTAAAAATAGCCAAATTTAGGGTCAAAAATCTCATTTTTGGGTCTAAAAAACCCAAATTTTAGGGTTAAAAATCTCAATTTTTGGGTCCAAAAACCCCCAAATTTTAGGGTCAAAAATCTCATTTTTGGCTCCAAAAATAGCCAAATTTAGGGTCAAAAATCCCATCTTTGGGTCTAAAAAACCCCAAATTTTAGGGTTAAAAATTTCAAATTTTGAGTCAAAAACCCCCAAATTTTAGGGTCAAAAATCTCATTTTTGACTCCAAAAAGCCCCGAATTTTGGGTCAAAAATCTCATTTCTGGGTCCAAAAACCCCCAAATTTTAGGGTCAAAAATCTCATTTCTGGGTCCAAAAACACCCCAAATTTTAGGGTCAAAAATCTCAATTTTGTCTCTAAAAAGCAACCAAATTTGGGTCAAAAAATCTCATTTCTGGGTCCAAAAAACCCCAAATTTTAGCGTTAAAAATCTCAATTTTGAGTCCAAAAAACCCCCACATTTTAGGGTAAAATCCCTCAATTTTGGCTCCAAAACCCCTCCAATTTTAGGGTGAAAAATCTCATTTTTGGGTCTAAAAACCCTCAAATCCTGTTCCCCTGCAGGGCACCAACATCGGGGCGGGCAAGGCCGTGGGCATCGTGGTGGCCACGGGCGTCAACACCGAGATCGGCAAGATCCGCGACGAGATGGCGGCCACGGAGCAGGACAAGACGCCGCTGCAGCAGAAGCTGGACGAGTTCGGCGAGCAGCTCTCCAAGGTGATCTCGCTCATCTGCGTCGCCGTCTGGGCCATCAACATCGGCCACTTCAACGACCCCGTGCACGGCGGCTCCTGGATCCGCGGCGCCATCTACTACTTCAAGATCGCCGTCGCCCTGGCCGTGGCCGCCATCCCCGAAGGTGCGGGGAGGGGGGTTTGGGGTGATTTGTGGGGGTTTGGGGAAGGTTTGGGGTGATTTGTGGGGTTCTGAAGAACATTTATGGTGATTTGTGGGGGTTTGGAGAAGGTTTGTGGTCATTTATGGGGTTTTGGAGAAGGTTTGTGGTAATTTATTGGGTTTTGGAGACCATTTGTTGTCATTGATGGGGTTTTGGAGAAGGCTTGTGGTCATTTATGGACCATTCGTGGTGATTTGTGGGGTTTGAGGAGGGTTTGGGGTGGGTTTGTGGGGTTTGGAGAAGGTTTGTGGTGATTTATGGACCATTCGTGGTGATTTGTGGGGTTTGAGGGTCGTTTATGGGGTTTTTGAGAAGGTTTGTGGTCATTTATGGGGTTTTGGAGACCATTTGTGGTCGTTTATTGGGTTTTGGAGAAGGTTTGGGGTGGTTTGTGGTCATTTATGGACCATTTGTGGTCGTTTATGGGGTTTTGGAGAGGGTTTGGGGAGGGTTTGGGGTGATTTATGGAGTTCTGAAGAACATTTATGGTCATTTATGGGGTTTTGGAGGAGGTTTGTGGTGATTTATGGACCATTTGTCGTCGTTTTTGGGGTTTTGGAGAAGGTTTGAGTTGGGTTGTGGGGTTTGGAGAAGGTTTGGGGTGGGGTTGTGGTGATTTATGGACCATTCGTGGTCATTAATGGGGTTTTGGAGAAGGTTTGTGGTCTTTTATGGGGTTTTGGAGACCATTTGTGGTAGTTTATGGGGTTTTGGAGAAGGTTTGGGGTGGGTTTTGGGTGGGTTTTGGGGTTTTTGAGAAGGTTCGTGGTGATTTATGGACCATGCGTGGTCATTTATGGGGTTTTGGAGAAGGTTTGTGGTCATTTATGGACCATTCATGGTCGTTTGTGGGGTCTTGGAGGAGGTTCGGGGTGATTTATGGATCATTTGTGGTCATTTATGGGGTTTTGGAGAAGGTTTGTGGTCATTTATGGACCATCCATGGGGATCATTTGTGGTCATTTATGGGGTTTTGGAGAAGGTTTGGGGTGGGTTTTGGGGTTTTGGAGAAGGTTTGGGGTCATTTTTGGACCATTCAGGGTCATTTTTGGAGTTTTTGAGAGCATTTGTGGTGATTTATGGGGTTTTGGAGAAGGTTCGTGGCCATTTATGGACCATCCATGGTCATTTTTGGAGTTTTTGAGATCATTTGTGGTGATTTATGGGGTTTTGGAGAAGGTTTGGGGTCATTTTTGGCCCATTCAGGGTCATTTTTGGAGTTTTTGAGAGCATTTGTGGTGATTTATGGGGTTTTGGAGAAGGTTCGTGGTCATTTACGGACCATCCATGGTCATTTTTGGACCATCCATAGTCATTTTTGGACCATCCATGGTCTTTTTGGACCATCCATGGTCATTTTTGGACCATCCGTGGTCATTTTTGGACCATTTATGGTCATTTTTGGACCATCCATGGTCATTTTTGGACCATCCATGCTCTTTTTTGGACCATCCATGGTCATTTTTGGACCATTTATGGTCATTTTTGGGGTCTCCATCTGACTACGGAGGGTCTCTGACCACCCCCCGGTGTCCCCGGTGACCGCGGTGTCCCCGCTGTCCCCAGGGCTGCCGGCCGTCATCACCACGTGCCTGGCGCTGGGCACGCGCCGCATGGCCAAGAAGAACGCCATCGTGCGCAGCCTGCCCTCGGTGGAGACGCTGGGCTGCACCTCGGTCATCTGCTCCGACAAGACCGGCACGCTCACCACCAACCAGATGTCCGTCTGCAAGGTGGGGCCCCAGAACTCCCAAAACCCCAAAATGTCTCCTGGAGAACCTCGAATTTCCATGGGAACCTCAAAATTTCCATTAAAACATCAAATTTCTCCTGGAGAACCCAGAATTTCCATGGAGACCTCAAAATTTCTCCTGGAGAACCTCAAAATTTCCATTAAAACCTCAAAGTTTCTTCTGGAGAACCCAAAATTTCCATGGAAACGTCAAAATTTCCATAAAAACATCAAATTTCTTCTGGAGAACCTCAAACTTTCCATGGAAACCTCAAAGTTTTCATTAAAACCTCAAAGTTTCTTCTGGAGAACCCAAAATTTCTTCTGGAGAGCCAAAAAATTCCATGGGAACCTCAAAATTTCCATGGAAACCTCAAAGTTTTCGTTAAAACCTCAAAATTTCTTCTGGGGAACTTCCTCTGGAGAACCCAAAATTTCCATGGAAACGTCAAAATTTCCATAAAAACATCAAATTTCTTCTGGAGAACCTCAAAATTTCCATGGAAACCTCAAAGTTTTTATTAAAACCTCAAAGTTTCTTCTGGAGAACCCAAAATTTCTTCTGGAGAGCCAAAAAATTCCATGGGAACCTCAAAATTTCCATAAAAACCTCAAAGTTTTCGTTAAAACCTCAACATTTCTTCTGGAGAACTTCAAAATTCCATGGAGAACCTAAAATTCCTCCTGGAGAACCCAAAAATTTCTCCAGGAGAACCCAAAATTCCACCAGGAGAACCCAAATTTCCTCTCAGGAACCCCAAAAGTTCTCCTGAGGAACCCAAAATTCCACCCGGGAACCCCAAAATTTCCATGGAAACCCCAAAATTCCTCCAGAAGAACCCAAAATTCCTTAAGGAATCCCAAAAATTCCCATGGAGAACCCAAAATTTTTCCAAAAACCCCAAAATTCCACCCGGGAACCCCAAAATTCCACCCGGGAACCCCAAAATTCCACCCGGGAACCCCAAAATTCCACCCGGGAACCCCAAAATTCCACCCGGGAACCCCAAAATTTCCATGGAAACCCCAAAATTCCTCCAGAAGAACCCAAAATTCCTTAAGGAATCCCAAAAATTCCCATGGAGAACCCAAAATTTTTCCAAAAACCCCAAAATTCCACCCGGGAACCCCAAAATTCCACCCGGGAACCCCAAAATTCCACCCGGGAACCCCAAAATTCCACCCGGGAACCCCAAAATTCCACCCGGGAACCCCAAAATTTCCATGGAAACCCCAAAATTCCTCCTGGAGAACCCAAAATTCCTCTCAGGAACCCCAAAAATTCTCCTGAGGAACCCAAAATTCCACCCAGGAACCCCAAAATTCCACCTGGGAACCCCAAAATTCCACCAGAAGAACCCAAAATTCCACCAGGAGAACCCAAAATTCCTCTCAGGAACCACAAAAATTCTCCTGAGGAACCCAAAATTCCACCCAGGAACCCCAAAATTCCACCTGGGAACCCCAAAATTCCACCAGAAGAACCCAAAATTCCACCAGGAGAACCCAAAACTCCTCTGGGACCCCCCGAGGAGCCCTGGGTGTCCCCAAAACGTCCCCGTTTGTCCCCAGATGTTCATCATGGACAAGGTGGAGGGCGACGTCTGCTCCCTGAACGAGTTCTCCATCACCGGCTCCACCTACGCGCCCGAGGGGGAAGTGTGAGTCCGGCGTGTCCCCAATGTCACCTCGAGGTCCCCAAAGCCACCCCGGGGTCCCCAAATGTCACCTCGGGGTCCCCAAAGGTCACCCCAGGGTCCCCAAATGTCACCTCGAGGTCCCCAGATGTCACCTCGGGGTCCCCAAAGGTCACCCCAGGGTCCCCAAATGTCACCTCGAGGTCCCCAGATGTCACCTCGGGGTCCCCAAAGGTCACCCCAGGGTCCCCAAATGTCACCTCGAGGTCCCCAGATGTCACCTCGGGGTCCCCAAAGGTCACCCCAGGGTCCCCAAATGTCACCTCGAGGTCCCCAGATGTCACCTCGGGGTCCCCAAAGGTCACCCCAGGGTCCCCAAATGTCACCTCGAGGTCCCCAGATGTCACCTCGGGGTCCCCAAAGGTCACCCCAGGGTCCCCAAATGTCACCTCGAGGTCCCCAGATGTCACCTCGGGGTCCCCAAAGGTCACCCCAGGGTCCCCAAATGTCACCTCGAGGTCCCCAGCGGCGTGTCCCCAATGTCACCCCGGGGTCCCCAAATGTCACCTCGGGGTCCCCAAAGGTCACCCCAGGGTCCCCAAATGTCACCTCGAGGTCCTCAAAGCCACCCCAGGAGCTCCAGACCTCCAAAACCTCCTCAGATGTTCCCAAAACCTTCTCAGAGGTCCCCAAATGTCACCCCAGGGTCCCCAAATGCCACATTGAGGTCCTTCAGATGTTCTCAAAACCTTCTCAGAGGTCCCCAAATGTCACCCCGGGGTCCCCAAATGTCACCCCAGGAGCTCCAGACCTCCAAAACCTCCTCAGATGTTCTCAAAACCTTCTCAGAGGTCCCCAAATGGCACCTCGGGGTCCCCAAATGCCACATTGAGGTCCCCAAATGTCACCTCGGGGTCCCCAGATGTCCCCAGTGATGTCCCCAATGTCCCCGTGTCCACCTTGACCCCGATGTTCTCCTTGGCCTTGGTGTCCCTCAAGGTTCCTCAAGGTTCCTCAATGTCCACCTTGACACCAATGTCCCCAATGACCCCAAATGTCCCCAATGTCCCCATGTCCACCTTGACCTCGATGTCCTCCTTGACCTTGATGTCCCTCAAGGCTCCTCAAGGCTCCTCAAGGTTCCTCAAGGTTCTCCTGCCCCTGCTGCCCCCAATGTCCCCAATGTCCCCGATGTCCCTGATGTCCCCCATGACCTTGGTGACCCCTGATGTCCCCAATGTCCCCTTGTGTCCCCAAGTGTCCCTTGACCTCGATGTCCTCCTTGACCTTGGTGTCCCTCAAGGTTCCTCAAGGTTCCCCAGGCCCTGCTGCCCCCAATGTCCCCATGACCCCAATGACCCCAAATGTCCCCAGTGTCCCCATGTCCACCTTGACCTCGATGTCCTCCTTGGCCTTGGTGTCCCTCAAGGCTCCTCAAGGTTCCTCAAGGTTCTCCTGTCCCTGCTGCCCCCAATGTCCCCAATGTCCCCAATGTCCCCCATGACCTTGGTGACCCCTGGTGTCCCCATGTCCCCCTTGACCCCGATGTCCTCCTTGACCTTGGTGTCCCTCAAGGCTCCTCAAGGTTCCTCAAGGTTCCCCAGGCCCGTGTCCCACCCGGTGTCCCGTGTCCCACCCGGTGTCCCGTGTCCCCGCAGGTGATCAAGCAGCTGATGAAGAAGGAGTTCACGCTGGAGTTCTCCAGGGACAGGAAGTCCATGTCGGTCTTCTGCTCGCCGGCCAAGGCCTCGCGCGCCGCCGTGGGCAACAAGATGTTCGTCAAGGTGGGTCCCCGTGGGGACGTCCCCTGGGCCACCTGGGGCCACCTGGGGCCACCTGGGGGTCACCTGAGGCCACCTGGGGGTGTCATCTGGGTCACACCACCCCATGAGCATGTTCTGCCACCCCAAACCTTCTCAAACCTTCTCAAACCTTCTCCAACCTCGGTCCCACCACCCCAAACCTTGATCCCACCACCCCAAACCTTCTCCAACGTTGATCCCACCACCCCAAAACCTCTCCAGCCTGGGTTCCAGAACACCAAACCTTCTCCAACCCTCTCCAACCTTGATCCCACCACCCCAAACCTTCTCCAACCTTCTCCAAACTTCTCCAACCTGGGTCCCACCACCCCAAACCTTCTCCAACGTTGATCCCACCACCCCAAAACCTCTCCAGCCTGGGTTCCAGAACACCAAACCTTCTCCAACCCTCTCCAACCTTGATCCCACCACCCCAAACCTTCTCCAACCTTCTCCAAACTTCTCCAACCTGGGTCCCACCACCCCAAACCTTCTCCAATTTTGATCTCACTACTCCAAACCATCTCCAAACTGGGTCCCACCACCCCAAACCTTCTCCAACCTCAGTCCCACCATCCCAAACCTTCCCAAACCTGGGTCCCACCACTCCAAACCATCTCCAACCTTCTCCAACCTTGGTCCCACCACCCCAAACCATCTCCAGCCTTGGTCCCACCACCCCAAACCTTCTCCAACGTTGATCTCACTACTCCAAACCATCTCCAACCTGGGTCCCACCACCCCAAACCTTCTCCAAACCTTCTCAAATCTTCTCCAACCTTCTCACACCTCAGTCCCACCACCCCATCGTGATGTCCCCAAGTGCCACCACCCCTGGTGACACCCCTGTCCCACCCCAGAGTGCCCTCGAGGGCGTCATCGACCGCTGTAACTCCATCCCACCACCCCAAACCTTCTCCAACCTGGGTCCCACCATCCCAAACCATCTCCAACCTGGGTCCCACCACCCCAAAACTTCTGAAACCTTCTCCAAACTTCTCCAACCTGGGTCCCACCACCCCTGGTGACACCCGTGTCCCCCCCAGGGTGCCCCCGAGGGCGTCATCGACCGCTGTAACTACGTGCGCGTGGGCACCACGCGGGTGCCTCTGACGCCGGCGGTCAAGGAGAAGATCCAGAGCGTCATCAAGGAGTGGGGCACGGGCCGGGACACGCTGCGCTGCCTGGCCCTGGCCACCCGCGACACGCCGCCCAAGAAGGAGGACATGGTCCTCGAGGACTCCTCCAAGTTCGCCGAGTACGAGGTTTTGGGTGGTGGGAGCTCATTTTGGGTGGTGGAACCTCGTTTTTGGGTGGTGGGACCTCGATTTGGGTGGTGGGAGCTCTTTTTGGGTGGTGGGAGCTCGTTTTGGGGCGTTTGGGGTTCCTTCTCTATCATGACCTCCAAAAATTCCTTTTTGGAGGTTCCTGCTCCACCACGACCTCCAAAACCCCTTTTTTTGAGGTTCCTGGTCTACCACGACCTCCAAACTTCCATTTTTGGAGGTTCCTGGTCCTTGGTGGCCTCCAAAACTTCCTTTTTTGGGGTTCCTGGTCTACCACGACCCCAAAAAATCCATTTTTGGAGGTTCCTGTTCCACCACGACCCCAAAAAAGACCTCGTTTTGGGTGGTGGGACCTTGTTTTGGGTGGTGGGACCTCGTTTTTGGGTGGTGGGAGCTCGTTTTGGGTGGTGGGAGCTCATTTTGGGTGCTGGGACCTCGTTTTTGGGTGGTGGGACCTCGATTTGGGTGGTGGGAGCTCTTTTTGGGTGGTGGGAGCTCGTTTTGGGGCGTTTGGGGTTCCTTCTCTATCATGACCTCCAAAAATTCCTTTTTGGAGGTTCCTGCTCCACCACGACCTCCAAAACCCCTTTTTTTGAGGTTCCTGGTCTACCACGACCTCCAAACTTCCATTTTTGGAGGTTCCTGGTCCTTGGTGGCCTCCAAAACTTCCATTTTTGGAGCTTCCTGCTCCACCACCACCTCCAAAACCTCATTTTGGGTTGGGTTCCTGGTCTACCACGACCCCAAAAAATCCATTTTTGGAGGTTCCTGTTCCACCACGACCCCAAAAAATCCATTTTTGGAGGTTCCTGCTCTACCACGACCTCAAAAATTCAATTTTTGGAGCTTCCTGCTCCACCTCGACCCCAAAACTTCCATTTCCCTCGGTCCCACCCCGTTTCTCCCTGACGTCCCCCCGTTCTCCACCGCCCCCAGACCGACCTGACCTTCGTGGGCTGCGTGGGCATGCTGGACCCGCCGCGCAAGGAGGTGATGGGCTCCATCCGCCTGTGCCGCGACGCCGGCATCCGCGTCATCATGATCACGGGCGACAACAAGGGCACGGCCATCGCCATCTGCCGCCGCATCGGCATCTTCGGCGAGGACGAGGAGGTCACCGGCCGCGCCTACACCGGCCGCGAGTTCGACGACCTGCCGCTGTCCGAGCAGCGCGAGGCCTGCCGCCGCGCCTGCTGCTTCGCCCGCGTCGAGCCCACCCACAAGTCCAAGATCGTGGAGTTCCTGCAGTCCTTCGACGAGATCACCGCCATGGTGAGGAGCGGACGTGGTTGTGGAGGTCCACCATGGGTTTGAGGGGGTTTGAGTGGTTTTGGATGTGGTTATGGAGGTCCACCATGGATTTATGGAGGTTTGGTAGGGGTTTGAGTGGGTTTGGACGTGGTTATGGAGGTCCAGCATGGATTTATGGGGGTTTAGGGTTGTAAGGTCTTGGTGGACGTGGTTATGGAGGCCCACCATGGGTTTGAGTGGGTTTGAGGGGGTTTGAAGGGGTTTGAGCCCACCCACAAGTCCAAGATCGTGGAGTTCCTGCAGTCCTTCGACGAGATCACCGCCATGGTGAGGAGCGGGGAGGTGGTTATGGGGGTCCACCATGGGTTTGAGGGGGTTTGAGTGGTTTTGGATGTGGTTATGGAGGTCCACCATGGATTTATGGAGGTTTGGTAGGGGTTTGAGTGGTTTTGGATGTGGTTATGGAGGTCCACCATGGATTTGTGGGGGAAAGGGTCTTGTTGGACGTGGTTATGGGGGTCCACCATGGGTTTGAGGGGGTTTGAGTGGTTTTGGATGTGGTTATGGGGGTCCACCATGGATTTATGGGGGTTTGAGGGCGTTTCAGTGGGTTTCAGTGGTTTTGGATGTGGTTATGGAGGTCCACCATGGGTTTGAGGGGGTTTGAGTGGTTTTGGATGTGGTTATGGGGGTCCACCATGGATTTATGGGGATTTGAGGAGGTTTGAGGGGGTTTGGATGTGGTTATGGGGGTCCACCATGGATTTATGGGGATTTGAGGAGGTTTGAGGGGGTTTGGATGTGGTTATGGAGGTCCACCATGGGTTTATGGGGGTTTAGGGTTGTAAGGTCTTGGTGGACATGGATATGGAGGTCCACCATGGATTTATGGGGTTTTGAGTGGGTTTGGGTGTGGTTATGGAGGTCCAGCATGGATTTATGGAGGTTTGGAGTTGAAGGTTCTTGGTGAACGTGGTTGTGGGGGTCCACCATGGATTTATGGGGTTTTGAGTGGGTTTGGGTGTGGTTATGGAGGTCCAGCATGGATTTATGGAGGTTTGGAGTTGAAGGTTCTTGGTGAACGTGGTTGTGGGGGTCCACCATGGATTTATGGGGTTTTGAGTGGGTTTGGGTGTGGTTATGGAGGTCCAGCATGGATTTATGGAGGTTTGGAGTTGAAGGTTCTTGGTGAACGTGGTTGTGGGGGTCCACCATGGATTTATGGGGTTTTGAGTGGGTTTCGAGGTGGTTATGGGGGTCTGCCATGGATTTATGGGGGTGTGGTGGTCAACTGTCATTGATTGAAGGGGATTTCACCACCAACTTCTGACGTAGTTTTGAAGTCCCACCACCCATTTAATGTAGTTTTGGTTGCAACCATGAACATTTGATGTAGTTTTGGAGTCCCACCACCGATTTCACATTATTTTGGGTGCAACCATGAACATTTGACGTAGTTATGGAGCTCCACCACCAATTTAACGTAATTTAGGCTGCAACCATCAACTTTTGACGTAGTTTTGGGTAGGGCCAGGGTCAGTTCGTGGTCACCTTGGTCACTTTGGTCATCTGGGGTTGGCTCATGGTCAGTTGGATCAGTTGGGTCACCTGGTGGTCAGTTCATGGTCATTTGGGTCACCTCGTGGTCAGTTCATGGTCACCTTGGTCATTTGAGGTTGGCTCATGGTTATCTGGATCACCTGGTGGTCAGTTCATGATCTCCTTGACCACCTGAGTCACCTTGGTCATTTGGGGTTGACTCATGGTCATCTGGATCAGGCGCTGGGCCTGCCCGAGGCGCTGATCCCGGTGCAGCTGCTCTGGGTCAATCTGGTGACCGACGGGCTGCCGGCCACCGCGCTGGGCTTCAACCCGCCCGACCTGGACATCATGGACAAGCCCCCGCGCAGCCCCAAGGAGCCGCTCATCTCGGGCTGGCTCTTCTTCCGCTACCTGGCCATCGGAGGTGAGACAACCTGCGGTCACCTCGTGGTCACTTTGTGGTCAGTTGGGTCATCTGGTGGTCAGTTTGTGGTCATTTGAGTCATCTAGTGGTCAGTTCGTGGTCACTTGGGTCATCTATGTCTCCTGATGGTCAGTTCAAGCCCCCGCGCAGCCCCAAGGAGCCGCTCATCTCGGGCTGGCTCTTCTTCCGCTACCTGGCCATCGGAGGTGAGACAACCTGCGGTCACCTCGTGGTCACTTTGTGGTCAGTTGGGTCATCTGGTGGTCAGTTTGTGGTCACTTGGGTCATCTATGTCTCCTGATGGTCAGTTCGTGGTCACTTGGGTCACCTGGTGGTCAGTTCAAGGTCGTTTGGGTCACCTGGTGGTCAGTTTGTGGTCATTTGAGTCATCTAGTGGTCAGTTCGTGGTCATTTGGGTCATCTACATCTCCTGGTGGTCAGTTTGTGGTCATTTGGGTCACCTGGTGGTCAGTTCATGGTCCGTTGTGTCATCTAGGTCACCTAATGGTCAGTTTGTGGTCATTTGGGTCACCTGGTGGTCAGTTCATGGTCATTTGAGTCATCTAGTGGTCAGTTCGTGGTCATTTGGGTCATCTACATCTCCTGGTGGTCAGTTCATGGTCATTTGAGTCATCTAGTGGTCTGTTCATGGTCATTTGGATCACCTGGTGGTCAGTTCGTGGACATTTGGGTCACCTGGTGGTCAGTTCATGGTCATTTAGGTCATCTAGGTCACCTCATGATCAGTTCATGGTCATTTGGGTCATCTAGGTCACCTGGTGGTCAGTTTGTGGTCAGTTGGGTCATCTAGATCACCTGGTGGTCAGTTTGTGGTCATTTAGGTCATCTAGGTCACCTCATGGTCAGTTCATGGTCATTTGGGTCATCTAGGTCACCTGGTGGTCAGTTTGTGGTCGTTTGGGTCATCTACATCTCCTGGTGGTCAGTTCATGGTCATTTGAGTCATCTAGTGGTCTGTTCATGGTCATTTGGATCACCTGGTGGTCAGTTCGTGGACATTTGGGTCACCTGGTGGTCAGTTCATGGTCATTTAGGTCATCTAGGTCACCTCATGATCAGTTCATGGTCATTTGGGTCATCTAGGTCACCTGGTGGTCAGTTTGTGGTCATTTGGGTCATCTAGTGGTCAGTTTGTGATCAGTTGGGTCATCTACATCTCCTGGTGGTCAGTTCATGGTCAGTTCATGGTCATTTGGGTCATTTGGGTCACCTGGTGGCCAGTTCATGGTCATTTGGGTCACCTGGGTAGGGCGAGGGTCAGTTCATGGTCACCTTGGTCACTTTGGTCATTTGGGGTTGGCTCATGGTCAGTTGGGTCAGTTGGGTCACCTGGCGGTCAGTTCATGGTCAGTTGGGTCACCTGGTGGTCAGTTCATGGTCAGTTGGGTCATCTGGGTCACCTAATGGTCAGTTCATGGTCAGTTGGGTCACCTGGTGGTCAGTTCGTGGTCAGTTGGGTCACCTGGGTAGGGCCAGGGTCAGTTCGTGGTCACCTTGGTCACTTTGGTCATCTGGGGTTGGCTCATGGTCAGTTGGATCAGTTGGGTCACCTGGTGGTCAGTTCATGGTCATTTGGGTCACCTCGTGGTCAGTTCATGGTCACCTTGGTCATTTGAGGTTGGCTCATGGTTATCTGGATCACCTGGTGGTCAGTTCATGATCTCCTTGACCACCTGAGTCACCTTGGTCATTTGGGGTTGACTCATGGTCATCTGGATCAGCTGGTGGTCAGTTCATGGTCACTTGGGTCACCTGGGTAGGGCTAGGGTCAGTTCGTGGTCACCTTGGTCACTTGGGTCATTTGGGATTGGCTCATGGTCAGTTGGGTGATCTCAGTCACCTGGTGGTCAGTTCGAGGTCAGTTGGGTCACTTGGGTCACGTCATGGTCAGTCCATGGTCATTTGGGTCATGTGGGTCACCTGGTGGTCAGTTGGAGGTCACCTGGCTCAGGTGGGCTCATGGCCAAGCCCCCGCGCAGCCCCAAGGAGCCGCTCATCTCGGGCTGGCTCTTCTTCCGCTACCTGGCCATCGGAGGTGAGACAACCTGCGGTCACCTCGTGGTCAGCTCGTGGTCACTTGGGTCATCTGGTGGTCAGTTCGTGGTCATTTGGGTCATCTAGTGGTCAGTTCATGGTCATTTGGATCACCTGGTGGTCAGCTCGTGGACATTTGGGTCATCTGGTGGTCAGTTTGTGGTCACTTGGGTCATCTAGATCACCTGGTGGTCAGTTCATGGTCACCTTGGTCACTTTGGTCATTTGGGGTTGGCTCATGGTCAGTTGGGTGATCTCAGTCACCTGGTGGTCAGTTCGAGGTCAGTTGTGTCATCTAGGTCACCTCATGGTCAGTTTGTGGTCATTTGGGTCATCTAGTGGTCAGTTTGTGATCAGTTGGGTCATCTACATCTCCTGGTGGTCAGTTCATGGTCAGTTCATGGTCATTTGGGTCATTTGGGTCACCTGGTGGCCAGTTCATGGTCATTTGGGTCACCTGGGTAGGGCGAGGGTCAGTTCATGGTCACCTTGGTCACTTTGGTCATTTGGGGTTGGCTCATGGTCAGTTGGGTCAGTTGGGTCACCTGGTGGTCAGTTCATGGTCAGTTGGGTCATCTGGGTCACCTAATGGTCAGTTCATGGTCAGTTGGGTCACCTGGTGGTCAGTTCGTGGTCATTTAGGTCATCTAGGTCACCTCATGGTCAGTTTGTGGTCATTTGGGTCATCTAGTGGTCAGTTTGTGATCAGTTGGGTCATCTACATCTCCTGGTGGTCAGTTTGTGGTCATTTGGGTCACCTGGTTAGGGTTAGGGTCAGTTCGTGGTCACCTTGGTCACTTGGGTCATCTGGGGTTGGCTCGTGGTCAGTTGGGTCACCTGGGAGCTGGTGGTGGTCAGCTCGTGGACCCAAAAATACCATCCTGGGGACCCCAAAAACCACACGAAAACCACAAAAAAAACACCTGGAGACTTCCATGGAGAAGGTTCCTTGAGGAACCTCATGGGGTCACCTCGAGAACCTCATGGAACCACCTGAAGACCCCAAAAAACCACTTGGAGACCCCCAAAAACCACCTGGAGACCCCAAAAAAAACACCTGGAGACCCCAAAAAAACACCTGAAGAGCCCAAAAAACCACCTGGAGACCCCCAAAACCTCCTGGAAACCCCAAAAAAACCACCTTGAGACCACAAAAACCACCTGAAAACCCCAAAAAATCACCTTGAGACCCCAAAAATTTTCATGAAAACCCCAAAAAACCACCTGGAGACCCCAAAAAAACACCTGGAGACCCCCAAAACCTCCTGAAAACCCCAAAAAATCACCTTGAGACCCCAAAAACCACCTTGAGACCCCAAAAATTTTCATGAAAACCCCAAAAAACCACCTGGAAACCCCAAAAAATCACCTGAAGAGCCCAAAAACCACCTTGAGACCCCAAAAACAACCTGGAAACCCCAAAAAAACACCTTGAGACCCCAAAAATCCACCTGGAAACCCCAAAAACCACCTGGAGACCCCAAAAAACCACCTGAAGAGCCCAAAAAACCACCTGGAGAACCCGGGGTGGCCCCTTGGAGACCCCCAGGTGTCCCCAGGTGTCCCCAGGGTGTCCCCAGGTGTCCCCAACCCCCCCCTGTCCCCCCAGGCTACGTCGGCGCCGCCACGGTGGGAGCGGCCGCCTGGTGGTTCCTCTTCGCCGAGGACGGGCCCAACGTCAGCTACCACCAGCTGGTGAGTCCCCAGGTGTCCCCAGGTGTCCCCGAGGCGTCCCTGAGCTGGTGACCCCGAGGTGACCCCGAGGTGACCCCGATGTCCCCCCAGACCCACTTCATGCAGTGCTCGGAGCACAACGTGGACTTCGAGGGCTTGGACTGCGACATCTTCGAGTCGCCGGTGCCGATGACGATGGCGCTGTCGGTGCTGGTGACCATCGAGATGTGCAACGCCCTCAACAGGTGAGGGACACGTCACCGTGGTCACCTTGGTCATTGTCACCTTGGTCATGGTCATGGTTGTGGTCATGGTCATCAGACCCACTTCATGCAGTGCTCGGAGCACAACGTGGACTTCGAGGGCTTGGACTGCGACATCTTCGAGTCGCCGGTGCCGATGACGATGGCGCTGTCGGTGCTGGTGACCATCGAGATGTGCAACGCCCTCAACAGGTGAGGGACGCGTCACCGTGGCCATTGTCACCGTGGTCACCTTGGTCATTGTCACCTTGGTCATGGTCATGGTCATCGTTATTGTCATCGTTGTTGTTGTCATGGTCACCATGGTCATGGTCATCATGGTGACCATGGAGATGTGTAACACCCTCAACAGGTGAGGGACGCGTCACCGTGGCCATTGTCACCGTGGTCACCTTGGTCATTGTCACCTTGGTCACTGTCACCATGGTCATTGTCACCTTGGTCATGGTCATCGTGGTCATTGTCATCGTTATTGTCATGGTCATCACAGTTATGGTCATGGTCATGGTCATAATGTCATGGTCATCTTGGTCATTGTTGTCATCATGGTCATGGTCATCATGGTGACCATGGAGATGTGCAACGCCCTCAACAGGTGAGGGACACGTCACCGTGGTCATTGTCACCATTGTCACCTTGGTCATTGTCACTTTGGTCATGGTCATGGTCATTGTTATTGTCATCGTTGTCATTGTCATGGTCATGGTCACCATGGTCATGGTCACCATGGTCATCATTGTCATCACGGTCATGGTCATCATGGTGATGTCCCCAATGTCCCCAACCTGTCCATGAACCCCAGCCAGATGCCACCATGGGAGAACATCTGGCTGATGGTCCTTGTCCACCCCAATGTCCCCAATGTCCCCATGACCCCCTGGTGACCCCGATGTCCCCAATGTCCCCGATGTCCCCATGACCTCCTGGTGACCCCGATGTCCCCATGGTCACCTCAATGTCCCCGCTGTCCCCAGCCTGTCCATGAACCCCAGCCAGATGCCACCATGGGAGAACATCTGGTTGATGGGCCCTGTCCACCCCAATGTCCCCAATGTCCCCAATGTCCCCGATGTCCCCAATGTCCCCGATGTCCCCATGACCTCCTGGTGACCCCAATGTCCCCAATGTCCCCAATGTCCCCATGACCCCCTGGTGACCCCGATGTCCCCCATGTCCCCGATGTCCCCATGGTCACCTCAATGTCCCCGCTGTCCCCAGCCTGTCCAAGAACCCCACCCAGATGCCACCATGGGAGAACATCTGGTTGATGGTCCTTGTCCACCCCAATGTCCCCAATGTCCCCATGACCCCCTGATGTCCCCGATGTCCCCCATGTCCCCGATGTCCCCATGACCTCCTGGTGACCCCGCTGTCCCCAGCCTGTCCGAGAACCAGTCGCTGGCCCGGATGCCGCCGTGGGTGAACATCTGGCTGATGGGCTCCATCTGCCTCTCCATGTCCCTGCACTTCGTCATCCTCTACATCGACCCCCTGCCCGTAAGGGGACACCGGGGACACCGCGGGGGCGGCCTTGGGCTGGTGGCCTTGGGGACGCCGGGGTGGTGGTCAGGGGGGTGGTGGTCATTGGGCGGTGGCCTTGGGGACATTGGGTTGGTGGTCATGGGTTTGGTGGTCATTGGGTTGGTGGTCATTGGGTTGGTGGTCATTGGGCGGTGGCCATCAAGGTGGTGGCCTTGGGGACATTGAGTTGGTGGTCATTGGGCGGTGGCCATCAAGGTGGTGGCCTTGGGGACATCAAGATGGTGGTCATGGGGTTGTCAGTCATTGGGTTGGTGGCCATTGAGGTGGTAGCCTTGGGGACATTGGGTTGGTGGTCATTGGGTTGGTGGTCATGGGGTTGGTGGTCATTGGGGTGGTGGCCTTGGGGACATCAAGATGGTGGTCATCGAGCTGGTGGTCATTGGGTTGGTGGCCATCAAGGTGGTGGCCTTGGGGACGTCAGGGTGGTGGTCACTGAGGTGGTGGTCACTGAGGTGGTGGTCTTTGGGTGGTGGTCATTGGGGTGGTGGCATCAAGCTGGTGGTCATCGAGCTGGTGGTCATTGGGTTGGTGGCCATCAAGGTGGTGGCCTTGGGGACGTCAGGGTGGTGGTCAGGGGGGTGGTGGTCATTGAGGTGGTGGTCGTTGGGTTGGTGGTCTTTGGGTTGGTGGTCATTGGGTTGGTGGCCTCAAGCTGGTGGTCATCGAGCTGGTGGTCATTGGATGGTGGCCATTGAGGTGGTGGCCTTGGGGACATTGGGTAGTGGTCATTGAGGTTGGTGACCATGATTGGGTTGGTGGTCATTGAGCTGGTGGTCATGGGGTTGGTGGCCATTGGGGTGGTGGCCTTGGGGACATCAAGATGGTGGTCATGGGGTTGTCAGTCATTGGGTTGGTGGCCATTGAGGTGGTGGCCTTGGGGACATTGGGGTGGTGGTCATTGAGCTGGTGGTCATGGGGTTGGTGGTCATTGGGGTGGTGGCCTTGGAGACATCAAGATGGTGGTCATTGAGGTTGGTGGCCTTGGGGACATTGGGTTGGTGGTCATTGGGTTTGTGGACGTTGGCTTGGTGGTCATCAAGCTGGTGGTCATCAAGGTGGTGGCCTTGGGGACATTGGGATCGTGATCATTGGGTGGTGACCATCAAGATGGTGGCCTTGGGGACATTGGGTTGGTGGTCATGGGGTTGGTGGCCATTAAGGTAGTGGCCTTGGGGACATTGGGTTGGTGGTCATTGGGTTTGTGGACGTTGGCTTGGTGGTCATCAAGCTGGTGGTCATCAAGGTGGTGGCCTTGGGGACATTGGGTTGGTGGTCATTGGGTTTGTGGACGTAGGCTTGGTGGTCATCAAGCTGGTGGTCATCAAGATGATGGTGCTCAAGGTGGTGGCCTTGGGGGACATTGGGTTGGTGGTCATTGGGTTTGTGGACGTTGGCTTGGTGGTCATCAAGCTGGGGGTCATCAAGATGATGGTCATCAAGGTGGTGGCCTTGGGGGACATTGGGTTGGTGGTCATTGTGTGGTGGTCATTGTGTGGTGGTCATTGGGGTGGTGGCCGTTGGGTGGCGGTCATTCAGGTGGTGGTCATTGACCTGGTGGTCATTGGGTTGGTGGCCATTGAGGTGGTGGCCTTGGGGACATTGGGGTGGTGGTCATTGAGCTGGTGGTCATGGGGTTGGTGGTCATTGGGGTGGTGGCCTTGGAGACATCAAGATGGTGGTCATTGAGGTTGGTGGCCTTGGGGACATTGAGTTGGTGGTCATGGGGTTGGTGGCCATTGGGTGGTGGCCGTTGGGTGGTGGCCATTGAGGTGGTGGTCATTGACCTGGTGGTCATTGGGTTGGTGGCCATCAAGGTGGTGGCCTTGGGGACATCAAGATGGTGGTCATGGGGTTGGTGGTCATGGAGGTGGTGGCCTTGGGGACATTGGGGTGGTGGTCATTGGGTTGGTGGTCATTGGGGTGGTGGCCTTGGGGACATCAAGATGGTGGTCATGGGGTTGGTGGCCATTAAGGTAGTGGCCCTGGGGACATTGGGTTGGTGGTCATTGGGTTTGTGGACGTTGGCTTGGTGGTCATCAAGCTGGTGGTCATCAAGGTGGTGGCCTTGGGGACATTGGGTTGGTGGTCATTGGGTTTGTGGACGTTGGCTTGGTGGTCATCAAGCTGGTGGTCATCAAGGTGGTGGCCTTGGGGGCATTGGGGTGGTGGGCATTGGTGTGGTGGTCGTTGGCTT